ACATATCATACAATTTAAATTGGGGTGAATACTGAACTCAAAGGCTGTATGTGATGTGCAGAACCAGGCAGAAAGGCCTTATACTGCTCTGCTTCAGCAGCTGGGCATAAATGTGTTTAGCTAAGTGCTGCTATCTCCATAGTAATGTATGAAATAAAGGGGCACGACCAGCTTGAGGAGAAGAGTACCTGGGAACAGTCTCTCCATGCAGTACATCCCCCTCTGGACTGGGGAATGCAACATTGCTGTTTGCTGCTCAAGTTAGTGCTGTTTCACTCCACGCCGTAGAGTAGGGGTGGGCAATCATTGCATCTGGAGGGCCACTTAATAAGTTTTGGTGAACTGTTGAGGGCTGCACACACAAAATTTATGGTAAAGATATCATTTTAACAAATTATAGACAAAAGACAAATCATATGCTAAAAATCAAATATCTACTATACAATATTTTATTTCAAAAATATTTTTTGTTCTGATTTATGCTTTTTTGAGTAGTGTATATATATAGAGATGATTGCAATAGAGCTCAAAATAAGTCTCTCTTCCAAAGGAACCAAAATTAGCCAGCAGGACACTTGGCCAAGGGAAGATGCCTCCACCCCCAGCAGAACCCTGCCACCACCCAGCCACCCCCCAAATCCCAAGGAAGCTCCTGCCTCAGCCTACACCCTGGCACACCCCTCAACAGCTGCCAGCACCCTAAACCTGCCTGGCTCCCACCTCTTCCTACCCACACTTGCCCCCACAAAACCTGGAGAAGCCCAGCAGCCCTCTCCAGCCTGCCCCAGCTGCACACCAGTGCCATGCAGGCTGTGCCCACTTGTAGCCGGGGGTTCCCCCTTTCCCCAAGAGAAGCCCCAGCCTCAGGGCTCCGGGGGCACCTAGGCAGACAGGATGGGAGTGACACTGTCTGCAGCCAGGAGGCAGCAGGTGGTTGGGCTGGCTCATGGTGCTGCATGGAGCAAGGTGGGACCAGGGCCGGGGTCGGGACTGAGGCTTCACCTGTCAGGAAGCTTCGGTACCTCCGTGCACAGGTGCACAGTGCCAGCACCATGGTACTAGTACCTGGGGCAGCTCCCGCTACCTCTTGCCAGGTGCGGCACCACTGGCTTGGCCTGAACAAGGGTGCTAGGGCCCAAGTACAGCTCACCCAGTGCCTAATGCACGGGGTCAGGTGGGCAGGTGAGCAGTGTCCCCTGAAGTGCCAGCAGAGGCCAGAGCTGGAGCCAGAGCCACTGCCTGTGCTGCCTGCCCATGGACTGGATAGAATCAATTGGTGGGCCAGATGTGGCCTGCAGGCCGTATTTTGCCTACCCCTGCCCTCAAGTCTTCGAAAGGTGAGGTCCTCTGTGTGTCTCTGGTGGTAGAGCAACTAAGCAAGCTGTGTTGCTGGTGCCAGGAGGTCTTGTAGAACAAGAAGCTACATATGGATGTCAAAGACACAGCTTTCACCATCTGCAACACAGAAGTTTGACCTTGCATGTTGGCAAGCCATGTCTTTTCCCTTAAGCGACACTACTGTCCCAAGGGACATTGTGACATGATATGGTCTCTCTCCCTTCATCTATGCTCAGCTTTCCAAAATCACACTCAGTCCTGACCCCAATACCTTCTACTTACCCAGTACTGAGCTAAGACCAACAGTCATACCGATTTATATCATGCTTTTATGACTGCAGACAGGTAGCCACGAGGGACTAAATCAGATTTCAATTCAACAGTGATTCCCAGCACCACCTAGTCACCTTAAATTTACATATGAGATATAAAAGACACCCTCCCCATCCCACACACAAGCCCTGTGCCTACACACACACACACAGCATAAATATAAGGAAAACACTTTAAAAAAATTGAGCCAGCAACTATAAATGCTGATTGTTTGATATGAAACTCCTCTAAAAATGACTTTATAATTGAATATTATTTAGCCAGGCCTAAACACTGTATCTAATGATTTTGGCATTTCATTAGTTTCGTTATTCAGACAGTTTTAAGAGTTCAGTGAATAACGGGGTATGACAGTGCTCCTGCTGGGACCAAAGTTGAAGAGTCCCAACTAGAGGGTCTTGCCTGTCTGCTCAGAGTCTGACTGATCACCATATTTGGGGTCAGGAAGGAATTTTACCCCAGGATCAGATTGATATGGACAGTGGGGAATTTTGCCTTCTTCTGTAGCAGGGGGCATGGCCATACACCCAAGATCTCTTGAGCATATCATTTCATTGATACAGAGCATTGGCTGCCATGGTTCCTCTGCTTTACCTGTGGCAAGTTAGGGTGTTAGGTCTGTGTTGTGTCAGGGTCGACAACAGTCATATGTAGAGTTTAGATTATGGATTGTATAGGATGGTTTGGGTTGGGATGATTCTGCTTCAGGCACAGGGTTGGGCTAGATGACCTCTGGAGGTCCCTTCCAGCCCTGCTTCTCTACGATTCTCTAGGATTCCCTGATAGCATACTAATTGCATGATTTTTTAAAGAAGGAGATATTTACAAAATAACTTTACTCATCATTCATTCAAGTTCTTATTTCATATAGAGATAGTCCTCCTGGTAAATATTTAACTAATTAGACAGTGGTCTTAAGAGCATTATGCCAATGGTGAATACCCTGTAGTAGGTATTTTGCTCACTCATTACTAGGTACATTACAAATAATATTTTAACTGAGTTTCCAATTCATAAATGCTGGAATAGGCTTATGAGTCGTATTAGAAGCTGAAATACAAAACAATCCATTCACACTATAAAGCTAGGGAGTCTGGTGAAAACAGGATGCAGGGTAGATGTGTGCAAAATTGCTGTCTATCCAAGGGAATTTATTCCTTTTATCCAGCTGTGTCAGTGGAGGGTTCACTTAAGGAATTATTCAGGTGAGCTGTTTTGCATCTATAACATTACCTGAAACAGGGTCTGATTGTATTTGAAAAGCTCCATAAGGAAGGGATGTTGTTCTTGGAAAGCTTGTTACACTAGGTGAGTAATTACCTGGCCTTTTAAATTATAGGGTTCTTGAACTGCACTTCCTTTCTGAAAAGGGACCAAAAATAGCACCCTGGGGACTCACATTTATTGTGTTTCAGTGATGCCATGTCAAGTGTGCTTAGTTTACGCATTAACAGATTTTTTCCCCTTCCACTTTTCAACCTTGAAAACTCCACCTAGGAAATGAAATTCTTTTCTCCTTGCCCATCACCACTAGGTAAATGTTTTACCAGCCCTGGCTTATGTCTGTGTAACCCTGCTATCTTCTTATCATGCCCTCTGTGTTGCTTGTTCAGTCTCAGAGCCTCAAAAGTTTGTGCAGGTAGGTGACTGGAACTCAGTAAACCCTATAATGCACATGGATACACATCTGTCTTTCTCTCTTACTTTGCCAGGTCAATTCCAAACAGTGGTCACAACCATTTTACTCGCTAAAGCAAGCATATAGGACTCTGAGCAGCAAGACTCATGCAGAAGTTACCATTTTTAGGTAGTTGCTTTTGCTAGAAGAATCACTTTAACATTTCTGTCTCTCTCCTCAAAGGAATTTAATAGATCTTACATAAATGAAAGGCAGATTCAGCGAAGGCAGAAAATGCCAGGGTGTTTTTCATTGTCCAGCAGACAAATGCCAGGGCCTCTTTGGGGACACTTAGAGTGTCTAGTCACTATACCGTACTGAAGACAAAAGCCATCTGTCAACAAACTAATCACTGGACAGATTCAGAGACAAGTGAAAATAAAAAGCCAATACAGACATATGTATGAGATTTCAGTCAGCTGCCAATGATAGAAAACAAATTCAGTCCACATGGCATTTGGGTTCAGTCATTTCTCTCAAAAGTGGGCAGCAGAGAAGTGGCAAAATTATCTTTAGCTTTGACCTTTTAAATCAATCAGTGTGATCATGGAGTGATGGGCCTGAACCACAGTCCTGGATCGAAACATCACCAACGTAAACTAACAGAAGCAGAACTAAGCACAAATAGATCAACTGACTATGCTACTATACATTTAGTACTGCATGTCATTTAGTGCTGAAGGAGGCATTACTCTTTTTAATTGAACCCCTGGACAATACAGGACAATTTAGTGTTTAGTTTCTGGCTAAAGGCCACCTTAATTTGTCATTAGCCCTCTGCTGTACTGTTAATTTTCTCTTCAGAGAGACTAATTTTCACATTAACTAGTGCATCTAGAACCAGCCAGCAGGGAAGCACCAATTTCTTTGGTTCTCCCCACCTTTATTCCTATCGTTACCCAGTGGGGCCTGGTTTTCTTATTCCTACACAAGAGAAAGAAATTCTCAATTGCCACCATCCCAATTCCTAATGATTTGGCTCTAAGGGTAAAGGCTACCATGGATGGCCACATTTTACTTCTTGTGGCATGAATGCAGGCCCCCCATTTAAGCTACACTCCAATCTCCATTTGATAAAGGTGATGAGAATGTATTTTGCATTATGGTATCGCTTGCCAGCTAGGGCGAGATTGTGCCAGGTGCTGGACACACACATAGCAAGAGAAAGTCTCTGCCTTAAAGAACATAAAATGAAGAGAAATGTTAGAGGAAGGAATTATCATCACCCCTGTTATACAGATTAGAAGGTGAGAGTAGATTAGGTCTCTGATTCAGCAAAGCACTTGCTCAATGCTTCAGGTTAAAATGGGATTTAAGCACATGCTTGAGTACTTTGTTGAATCAGGGCCTAAGGCTCAGATTCTCAAAGGTATTTGAGGATCTAAGTCCAGATGACTTCTCCTAAGTCAAAGGGAAAGGCAGTGGCAGAGCTGAGAACAGAACCTGGATACCTTGAATCATATTCCAGGGCCTTGACAACAAGTTATTTCCTCCGGAAAAAAGTGCCTTATCTAATCATTACAAGCATCTTGCCCCAAACACAAAACCCCAATAGAACAAGAAAGATCCTACTTTGTGAAGCAGATTCTCAAATAAGAAAGAAATTGTGTGTATTTGCTTCATTTTCTGATCTTGACTTTTGTATTTGCAGGTGCAAGAGGACCTTAGTTGTTTGAATTTCTGCACCACATCTGCTTTCCTAGCAGTGGAAATATTGAGGTGTAGAGAATCAGGATGATTCAGAACATGGGAGCATGCCATGTTAAATATACAATAGACCTCAATTTTAGCAGCATTCAAATAGGATGTCGTTTCATCCTTGCACTAATTGAAATCAATCTGAAGGAGTCAGAGCTTTTGAGAGCTAAAAATCATAATTGCTTTCTTAAAGGCAGCACCCTGTGTAAAATTAAATGCACTTTTCCAACAGCTTCACTAATGCAGCGTTTGATTGGCCCTTGAGGATTCCTGGAGATATTTGTCATTCAGCATGGAATCAGGTCAGCAGCTAAAATTAACCACCCATCTCTCCCCTGTTCAGCACGTAGAATCACTGCTTTTGGTACTGCTCAGCTTGGGCCTTCCAAAATGGGTGGGTTCTTACTACGAACCTAAATTATGCCTTAACAAGGAATATTGATGGATACAATCATTCCTATTCTGAAATGAAACTGTTGGGAATCAGACTCACAGTCCCTTTGACTCCAGCCTGCATTGATTGGTTCTTGGGCAGCCTACCAACCGGGTGCTGCCTCTTACAGCATCCACTGTTAATCTGCCTAAGCGAGGCCTGCAAGCCCTACAGAAACTACAATTTCTCTTCATTAGTGTGATTCTGCCTGCATGAATCTGATAACATATGGGATATTATCATAAAACAGCCTATTTCTCCAATTCATTTTCTCTTTTATGAAGATTATGAAATGTACTGCAAGTGCATCAGGCAGAATAAAACTGGAGATTCTACTATACAATTTATCTTTGATTCGGTTTCTAAAATGCAAACAGCCTCACTTTTAAGGTCACATTTCCCAATACTACCATGCTAATACATTATGAAAACTGCTGACTCTCTCTTCTGTTTCCTCCAGTTCACTACAGGCCTGATGTATAACACAAGTCACTTGGCCCAAGGATGGGAGTTTAATGTTCAGAGCCAGCAGATGCAGTACGATGGAAAAAACCTGGAGGTACAGTAACCGTCTAGTCAACCCTAATCAGTGCCACAATCTGACTAAGCATGAACATGAATGATAATCACAGTTTAACTATGGATTATGTAATTCCAAATATGTGCTTCATACCCCCCCACGCTTCCTGCCTTTTGTAAGAAAGAGGAGATAATATGAGTCTGTTGCAGTGAGCTGTTTCTGTGTTTCAATTCAATAAGCACTTTGGGATTATTGTAGACACAGGTATAGCCCTCCTGTCCTCTAGATTTATTAATTAGCATTTATGTGCCTCCATTTAATGAGATGTGTATGCCCTCTACTGGTCTATGTCTGCATTTATTAAGAAAAAAAAAATCACATCGCAAAGGGTTTTTTTTAAGTTTTGTATACAAACATACAACCCCCCCTCCAAAAAAAAAAATGAAACTTCAATGCATGTTGCTCATCGCTTTCCTCCCAGTACCATGTATAACCAGGCAAATTTCAGTACAGTATTACCTTGCTAATTCAGCCTTCATCAAGTAAACTACCTTGTCATTATTTATTGCTAGTACTTTCCTTTTTTTATATAACATATTTGGGCATTTGTGGTATGATTCCTAGGGACTGATTTACATGTTTGCATTCAAAAGATACGTTGATTACATGGTGTATGCATCCTTCAAAACCAAATGGGCATGCACTGTTCCTTTAAGAGATGCACTGTGTATAGGGACAGAGATGTGCACATTGGCCTCCTATTGACTCCAGACTCCTCGTCTGTTCCTGGGTCTGTATTTAGCTGCAGCAGTACTTCAGGAAAGCAACTGAGCCTTCATGGATTAAATCAGTTAGCAAAAGCTTCGCTAGCTCCTGGCTAATCTGCCTCAATTACAGAGTATGGACAAATGCAACAGAAGCAATTTTAATAAGCAGTTTACCTTCGAAATTGCTTCCACTATCAAGCCTAGTAAAGATTATTAGGAACCATAAATATAAACATGCTAACTTTACTCCGTATCCACCCTTTTGCCCTGTTACAAACACTTTCACCTCATGATATAGTGAAGAAACAACACGGTAGCTGCATAGGCTACATTTCATTTTAATCAGGAAAAACAAAAATTGGTAAGTCCCACTGAAACACCTCTGAAAAAATAAAATGGTTTCATGCCTCACTAACAACATGAAAAACCCAAGTGGGGGGCTGAGACCATGACTAGAGAATTACTCTGGTGTAAACTAATCTGTCCCTAGCAGGTGCACGCAATCATGGGCACAGTTGCCACCTGCACAAATGGAGAGAAAGGGTTAGCAGTTAGTTGATCAAAGGGAGGTTTCAGGAGCAAGTGTAATTGAAGATGGGATGGCCCACAGCAAATTAGAAGTTGCCTGATTTTAAAAGATTTTTTATCTACAGCAACAGACGACACACAGCACTGATAACTGATGCGCAGCCTCACTCCAGTGAGGTCTGGGCTGTAAAAGGGAATGTTTATTTCAGTGTGTATCAGAGACTCCTGTCTTTTGAAAGGAGAAACCAGAGTGATTTCCTGCCCCTGCTGCAGTTACTGCATCAGCATTTGCACTGCAGCTGGGGTAACATTACGTCACACAGCAGGAATGTCATATGGTTTCTCAGCAGCAAAAGATATAGAATATATATAAAAAAATACAAATACAAAAGATATTGATCCTGCCTTGGGGCAGGCAGATGATCTAACTGACCTTTTGCAATTTCTTCCAGCACTACAATGCTATTGTTCCCTAACACCTTCAGACTTTGTTTCCTCATGTTTGAAGAGGTGTTAGCTGTTTTGAAGCTATTTTCCATCTAGCATGGACACACTTAGTTACATAGTGCGTTCTTAAAAATGGCTCATTCTCGTAGTCTAGACAAGGCCCAAATAAAGCCAGGATAAAAGTAACTTTTAAAGGCTGACTGAATCGTTTATCCCTTTTTCTGCTGTACCCATTTTCTTTACTGCTACCTGTTCTTACCACCTAGAAGTACTTTCCTAACACAGCCATGACTGGCAGCAAAACATTAAAGATATATGTTAGCATTAAAACAAAAGCAAGTCTCCAGCCTCCTCAAATTAACTTGTTGGCAGCAGTGATTGAAGCAGACCTTCAGCTCACCTTACAAATCACCTTAATTAAAAAAAAAATCATCTTGTGGCAGATTTTTCCATTCTGGCAGGGCTTCCTCATGATAATGAACTTCCTGAGATGTACATGCTCGATCAGCTCAGTACAGGAATTTGGAGACCTGGCCGGGGTAAGGAACACACACTCTGGCACAGATGCCCACCCCACTTGGTTGTCATCATACCCAGAATGCACAGGGGAAATCATGCATAGGCAAAGCGTATGGTGAGTCGAGTGAAGCTTTACCTCCCCTAGTTAGTCATTACCTAAAGCAGGGGTGCATTGGAGGGAGTAAAAAGCCTTTAACAATAACTCTTTGCCCTTCTGTTTAAGCATTCCTGGACAAACAACAGTCATTTTTCTGCTTTAACCTCGTCTAATGTAAGGAGGGGGTGGTATAGCTGTTGGAATGAGATTATCAAGCTTGTTATGGATCTAGCTGGAGGAGGATAAATATCATTAACTTGAGAGTAGCATCCAGTATTGATAAAGACACTTCAAGGAGTCAGCTTTTGTGATCAACCTGTAAGTCTGCCAGCTGAAAGGAAAGTAAGCTCCTTATGATCAGTCCCCATATTTTTCCTTACAAAAAGGTAGTGTGGAATTCAGGAATGAAATGAATCATGAACTGAGAGAAGCTGGCTTAAGGAGATAACCTGCCTTTCTTCCTGAGCTGCTGCAAGAGGAGGATGTTTATGCCTACACTGCCAGTTAAAGCCTGGGAGTTTGGTAGAGGGGTTTTCACTCCTCCCAAAAAAACGGGTTATAAGGTTGGGGCCTGCCACACTGACATCTTCTCTCCTTCAGGTGTCTTGATCTGTTAGCATAAATATACTCAAGTGTTTGGTTTTTATTCTCTGTTGAAGCCAGAACAATAAGAGAAATAAGAACTTCATTTCCTTTGAATAGATCTGGTTCATATCAGGCTTTAAATCTGGAGTAAGCTCTTATTCTGAGTTTGATATGAACTTAATATACAGCACTGGCTATTGTATGTTGTCTTCCTATTAAAATCAGCTGTGATCAGAACATTCATTGCAGACAAAGCAATTAAACTAGCCCCCAACCTCTCCCACAATATTTTCAACATTTACTTTACACAGTTTAATTTCAAGAGAAATAACTTACTTTTTCTTAATTAAAAAACAAGTCATCTATTTAAAGCTATAATAAAAAGTGTAAGTGAATCTGTAATACTCATTAACAGTGACACATCAAGAACCCTGGAGAACAAAGTCTTCTGTTTAGCTAAGCACCAGATAGTCTTTCCCATTACCACCCCATCCTGGTTCTGGCATCCTGTTTGGGAGTGAGAAAAGAATTCAGTCTCCACATGCATTCAATTATAGTATTACTGGTGTGCCAGTAGTACCTGGAAGCCCCAATCAGTGTCTAGCCCTACTGTTTTAAGCAGTTCACTTATACTGAGCATGAGAGAGTCCCCATCTCAAATCACTTAGCATAAAAATAAGCAAAAGCACACATTCGATCCTCAGGGGCTTCTGTAGGGGTTAAATCCCAACTCGTGCCAGTAGGATGTTGTTTTTTGGATGTGAATGTCTGTCTACTAGGAACCAAGTCTCAAAACTTGTTAACAGCCATCAGATGATAACTATTTTAGACTACTTTTGACTTTTTAGACCATAAAATTTGTTTTAAAAGATTATTAAAGTATTATGTGAATCATGCAGAACTTTGAATGGTCTGAAGAATATTGCAAGTTCACTGAGTTTTGCATAATGTCTTTCATAATGTGCTTAGATACATCTGACCCACAAGAGTCAAATTTTCCATTGCAGTGCAAAGATGTTACTTGGGCTGGCAAGTGAACAAGAAAGAATGTTTTCCTATTTGTGCCAGCTCCTTACCCATCACGGAAACAAAGATCAATCAACAACACTGAAGAGGCTGTTGTAGCACAATTCAGTTGTAAGATTTGCGGGGAGTCCTGGAGGGAGGGCTGGGCTGTAATCCATAAGTAAGGCTGAAATGAGATGTCTTGGGCAGGAGTATGTAAAAGAAAGGTGAGAAGAATAGTTTAAAAGAAAACCTAGCGTAGTTACCAATGCTGGGACAAATGAAGAGGTGCTACTGGTATTTGGGAAATGAACACTGAGACTTGAAGAATCCAGGAGAACTATACTAGTGTCAGACTGCCTGTGACACAGACTGAGTGAGGTAATTAGGGACAGCATGAGAGCTTAGAAATAGCTACCCGGTTAGCAGACTTGTTATTTTAAACACAAAATAAGCTTTCAAAGCAAAAGCTCATAATTAAAGTAATGAAAAAAATGTAATTTTTAACTAAGCCTTTTCCCCCTTTCCACCTGCTTCAAGAGGTCCTTGCCAGAAGAGAAGCTGCCCTATACCTGCAAATGATAATCCCAAAGGAGGAGGAATGTGGTATAGGTTGCAAGCCGTACATGGCTCCATGACTCTAGGGACAGGCTATTGCTCAGTGCTAAAATTCCACCTTGCATTCAGGATGTGTGTTGCGATTCTGGACTCGGTCCATGCAAGAACCTGCAAGTCATTAAAACATTTATAGCAGGACTGTATGAAGCTAACACCACTCGTCAGATTCAGGTATTCTCCCTGCATGAAGTATCTTGAAAAGAGATAGGTTCAAATATTCTTGTGCTCTGGCTTCTACAGGTCATAATAATCTCTGTGACAAAATCACATCTAAAGAAACCAGCTGGGAAGTGACAAATAAGTCGTACCTGTGCCGGGCCCAGTGAGTCGTGAAAAGCTTCACAAGTTTGGGGCAGTTTTGATGCTTACTCAAGCCTGGAGACAAGCCTGCAGAGTTAATCATCTCTCTCTTCAAGGCCTGTCATTAATAGTTAAATTTGGCAGAGTAGGCTTCTACCACCACCCTCTCACCTCTGTGCTGTTCAGCATCCTGCTGCATCTTCCCTGAGCTGCACTGCTGCTTAAATTTTAGTTCACAGTACAAATAGGGGGGTGTAGCTAGTTACATGCCTAGTACTCCGTTGGTTATGTGTAAATAAATATTAAGCTCCAGATCACACACAAAAAAAATCTGCATTTGGAAATAGCAGAGCTCAGCACCATAACTTTCAAGGCAGGTGACAAAGAAAGCAAGATATGCAGTGAAATCATCAAAAATGTGAAGGGGTTCAATATGAGAGGCAAGGATCATCTCTCTTGAGATGTGGCAGAAAGTTAAGAGAAAATACAAGCTGAGAGCAGTTGCCTTTGGGGTCTGTAAGGAGAAAGCCTGATGAAGAATCCAATCTTTAGTCTAAAAGATTTGACTTTGAAGCATCCAGTGGGTTTGAGGACACAGAGATGTGTGTGGGGAGGTGGAATCAGAGCCCAGGCTTTGTGTCAACCAGATAACCCAAGGAACACGAAAAAGGAAACCACAAAGCTCTGCCATAAATGCTGGGATTATTAGAGGGGAGGATGAGCTGGTTCAGATGAAGTAATTGATTTGAAACATTCCTCAAAACGCAGATAAAGATTGGAGTTTCAAGACATTCAGTTCAGTTTTTTCCCCTCCTATAGTTTTGCACTTTCTATTTTTTTGGCTGGGCTTGGAGGAGAGTGTGCCAAAAGACTGCAAGTAAATCTGTCTGTTCTCACAGAGTTTCTGGCCCAACCAGGAGTAGGAGGAATCCAGGCTCTCATGAGAAAGCCTGTTTCCATGCAATTTCCAGACTAGTTTTGCAGACTCAGAAAGTCAGAAGAAGGTGCCAGACTTTGGGGGGCC